AGCATATCGTAAATGGTGTAAAATTAAAGAAAAATATACAATATAAAGGGCTTGGTTGTACGTTACTGACCTTACAGAAAAGCATCCTGAAGCTAACTTTTTTGTTTATATGATTTTTATTTAGAATCAGTACAAGTACCCAAAAATTTATTATTAGTCTAAAATCTAAAGTAAGTCGGCATTCACCCATCTGTTAAACTGATGAAAGTTTTTTTTTATAAGAAAAAAAATTAGTTCATTAAAAATTATTCAAACAAGAGTAAACAATTAATTTCTGGGAGACTTTTTTTCCTTAAAAATTCAAATAAATCGAAAACTAATAATAATAGTAATAGGGAACCTTTAGTTAACTGACATTATTTTTGATGTAGTTTTTAATTCTAAAATAAAAAACAGGGTGTTTCATTAAAAATAATATAACTTTGTATATTTTCTCTTATGTGGGACATCCTGTATACATCTAACAAATTTTAAATTGTAGCCGTCTGTAACCTACGTATTCCTCCCAAACGAATTTTTTATATCTTTGGTCGTTTTCCCATAAAGCTCCGTCCCGTTGAGCGTGAGCCACCCTGTATATTATCCGTAGTATGTGTTTTTTCAATTATTCCCAAGAGAATATTTTTGTTATTTGACTAGAAAGTATTATCTGAATAATCTTTATAAAATAGTCATAGTGTATTCAGAATATATACATCATACAAATGCACATTCTCAAAATATCTTGTACTATTTGGGATCCTAAGGAATTTATGTTAGCGTTTTGAATAGAACCACCCTGCCGACTTATAAGTTATCTAACCATGTTTTATATGGTATCCAATCGATCCTATTCTATTTTGCGAGAAAATGTTTTATTATGTTCTGCCATTATTGTTAGAAATACAATAATTAAATGTTAAAACTCATTAAGAACATAAAAGAGGAAACACATTTTTTTCGTTAGGTTTAATGAAACCATATCGAAAATCGTGTATGTAACAAGAAAAGTCACAATGAATTGTCTTGAAAGACCAAAGAAAACTCTGGATAGAAGCCAGACAAAAAGTAATTCAGAAGAAATATAGAGTAAAACTTAAACCACCAAAGCTTAATGTTTAACGACAGATGTGCTAATTATTTTCAGTCAGATAATATTGTAGGTACACAAAATTTTTAAGGTATGAAGCTGCATATATTATGAAATAGAACTGGTTTTTATTATTTTTATTACGTTAAAATAAAATAATTTAAACGAACTAAGTGAATTTTTAAAAGCTACATATTAGGTTGGTTCTAACCCTTATTTACACAATGTAATTACAGGTTCGTATTTGGAACCAAATATCATTTTGATCATGTAATATTTAAAGATTTTACTTGTTTTTATTGTATTTTTTTATTGTATCAAATAATAAAAACCATTAATAACTAAAGAAAAATATAATTAGCATTACAACAAAATAACAACCACAATAAAGAACTACAGGCAAGCGAGCGAAGCGAGCGCGCCCGGCCGACGTTTCGAAATTGACGCGAATTTCGAAACGTTGACCGGGCGCACTCGCTTGCTTTTGTAGTAGTTAGGAAGTGGATAGAACGAGCGATTCGTGCTCTTATGGTACAGGTGCAAAAAGGGCGCGCCCGGCCGGCGTTTCGAAATTCGCGCGAATTTCGAAACGTTGGCCGGGCGCGCTCGCTTCGCTCGCTTGCTCCTTTAGTGGTTAGCAGGTGGGTACGTTGATGCTACCAGCGAAGCGTGCTCTTACGGTGCAGGTGTAAAAAGGGCATTTGCGAATTTCAAAACATTAACCAAACACGATCGCTTCTAAGATAATTAGGACGTAGGAGGGCGAGCGTGCTTTTATAGCGTAGGTGTGTCAATGAACTTTTTAATTTTTTTGAATTATGACAGGTTTACAAAAAGTATTTTGGATAAAAAATGTATAAAATAAATCAAAGTTTAGATATGGCAATCCTGTGGGCCTGTTGTCATTGACGGAGTCGATGATACATATATAGTTATATAGATTGCTCAAAGCGTGTTGTTTGCGAGCGGCCATATTGCCTGGCAAGTCTCCATTAATTTGAATCGATTTAGGAAAAATGTGTTTTAAAACCAATTTCCAACCTTAGAATATATTAAAAGTATAATTTCCTACATTTTAACTTTAAGGCATAAGCATATGTTTATTTTGAAATACATGGATGATTAATCTATGTAACTGTCTGAAACATTGATCCTATCAAATCAACAGGCCCACAATGCTGCCATATTATTATAACCTGTCAGTGGCCTGTCATTTTTCACGGGTAGCCATTTTGTTTGGAATGCCTAATATAAAGTGATAATAAAATTATGTTTAAAAATTTTCGAAAAGTACTTGTTTATTACATTATGGATGATGTAATATTATTATTTATTATGTACCACAACAATTCAATCAAAATGGTTAAATCGTCAGATGTGACTGAAAATAAATTAAAGAAATGCTTTTTAAAGTGTATGGAAATGCTATTTAAAAATAGGGTAATTTCTTTTTCGTTCATTTTAATTACACTTGGCAACACCGCGAATATTTGAATTGACAGATATAATTCTAAATTCTAATGAATAAGTTTACATATATGTGTACATATTTATATATAAATCAGATATTCCCATAGAACTGAAGCTCACTTCTCGTCCAGAACATTCATCCAACTTTGCTTTTACAAAGGATTTAATAATGATGTCCTTTATACAAAAAAAAAAAAAAATGGTGCATTTGTTGTCATCTTAACATCATGACGACAGTATATCAGTTCTTCTACTGCCTAATTCTTGTTTAATCTCTCCTAATATTATGTTACTGCTGATACCTCAGAACGGCTCAGGTCCTACAAAGGGTGTTTGAACCCCTTTCCTTGCAAGACTATCTGCAATCACGTTACCCTCGTTACCTCGTTATGTCCCGGGACCCAAGTGCGAGTAACTCTATTTTTCTCACCTAGCTCATTCAATTGTTCTAGGTACCTCCAGACCATTTTTGAGTTGATTACGTAAGAGCTCATCGCTTTGATGGCTGCTTGACTATCGAACATGATGATAATTTCTTGTCTATGATAGTTTGTCTCGATGTTAAACTGGATACACTTCCCGATAGCGTGAATTTTCGCCTGGAAGATGCTTGGGTCCATACACATTTCAGATCCTTCTATGGTTTTGAAACCTCCTGTATACCACTGAATAGCACGTCTTTCAGTTGCAAGCGCGATGGATTCTTGGCTCCACTCTTTCTTGTTCTGTGGTTTTGAAGTTATTCACAAAACTGTACTTCTTTAGAATTTCATTCTCTGACATGTCTCAGGTACATAGACAAAAACTTAACCACCGTATTATGCACTGATTGTGCCATTAAAGAGTAAAAGTTTTTCTTGCGCATGTTTGTGTTTTGTTTTGTTATGCATTTTGTGTACCGATAATTTTTCTATACTAGAGAAGCTTTTTGTCTTATGTTTCATGAATAATTGCAAAATTACCATGTTAATACATTTTTTACTAAAAAAAGTTTTATTTGTTACATTTTTTTAACCCAAACATTAAAATTCAATCATTAACAGCTGGAGGACCTTGGTGACCCTTCTTCGGTTTTATGGTAACTATTATTACCTTCGACATCTAAAGGTTAAATAATCTAATTTTAACGCAATAAAAATAATAAAACCCGGTTCTATTCCATTTTGTACCCCGAACCAGTGTTGCCAGAATATATATTTGTTATGTATCAAATTTGTCTCAGAAATGTACCAGATTCCATAAAAATGTACCAGATTCCATAAAAATTTACCAGATTCTATAAATATTACCATATTTTTCGAATTGATAGATAGGTTCATTGAAGAGTAAAAAAGCTTTTATCGAAAATGAACACAAACAAGAAAGAAACCAAATTCTTAAATAATGTACTAGATCTAGTAAAATTGTACTAGACTGGCAACACTGCCTCGAACATGCTCAGAAATAAGAATTTGAATAGTAAATTCGTCTTCCAAAATGTTTTAGATTTTGTTTTTATGCTCTTTTCAAATATGGAAACGAATTATAAAAAAATAGTTATACAGGGTGTTGTTTTAGGATGGAAAAATTTGTGAAAGAGTCGGATCTGGATTTTCTTACTTTTTTATACATCAGTATATTATACAAGATGTAGATGACAAGTATACCAAACGACATAAATATCTACAGGGTTGTTCCCAAGTTATGAATAAGGAAAGAAATTAATAAAATTAATAAAACAACCTGTATCTCGGTTATAAACGGCCAAAGAGCCATTAAATAAGGGTTATCTAGAATCACTTTAGTGGCCTCCACAGTTAACATATGTCCGTTTCATAATTAATCACCCTGTATATATAATTGCTCACTATTTTTATTTTCATACAAAATAGTATACATATCGATGGCTTAAAGCACAAATGTTGTATGTCCAAAAATGTCATTTTGAGTAAAATCGATTTGAAAGTTGGATGTAACTATGACGAGCTGTAGAATTTGTTTCAGTATTACTTTACTGAATGGTAAACCTATTTAAGTTGATGTACTATATTTGGTAACCATAAAGATTTCATCATGAAGAGTATAGAATCCTACTTATCCCATTTTCGACAAAAATTGACATACAATATTTGTGCTCTTAACCATAGATATTTGCACCTCTACTCATCTGACTGATGTCCAATTTTGTCGTTCTTGTAAATTTGTGTAAGCAGAGTGAGCAAGTGTGTATGAACTAACAATTAAATTTTTATCAGTTGTACTCATTCATTTTTTACTGTCTAAATCGAGTTCAATCTATGTAATATTTTATTACCTCAAACTTTAATTAAGAATTATAGTTAAATGCGAGAAAAATTCTCCCGCTATTGTTAATTAATGATTAAAAACCGTTTACATATTCATAATAATAAAAAAATAATATAAATATTATATAGTTTAATGATGATTAAATAATTATGTTTTCTTGCAAATTGTGTTACATTATTTAATTCTTATTACTTAGTAATTACGCATAGTTTAACATGGATACGACGCGAGAGCGAAAAGATAAGATATTTAGTTAATAAAATGACTTTCAAAAGTAATGATGCTAGTGTCTCCTACTTACGGAAATTTTATAGACAAATTTTGGCGGCCATCGCAGGTAGGATATTTAAGTTTTTATTTATTTTTTTTTCGCACTGTGAAATTGTCTCTCTGAAAAAAAAATGTTCCTTTTATTCTACGGTGTAACTATTCTGTTAATCAAGGTCGTCCTAATGATTATATAAAAAAGTAAAAGTGTAAATTACGGTAGTTGCTAATTAAATTTCAGTATATGAACCTTTTAGTTTCCATATTTTTATATTTTCTACAACTCTTATCCATCTTTTTGTTCCTTTTAATTTTATATTTTTTTTACACTTCTACATTTATATTTATATAATTGAAGACCTTGGCGTAATAAGGATACATGCCACATTGTAAGTTTTGAGAAAATGAACTTTTAAATTTGTTTTAAATCTGTCAAATATAAATTTAAAAAAATTATTTAAATATAAATATTACTAAAAATAGTGCCTTAAATTCGAAATAGAGTTAAAATAATTTTTATGTGGCTAATAACCTTATTAAAAGATGTTTTGAGCTAAAACAGTTACAAATTCTGGCTTGCATCCTTTTTACACCAATTTTCCCTTTTTTGTGAATTTTAAATTATATTACATGATACTTGTGGGTTGTTGCTTTGATTATTGTCAGTCGATAAAGAATTACAGCTGGTTAAATTTTAAAAGCAATTTAATAAACACAGTGTATTTTGGTAAAGTGGTTGAACATGAAAAACAAAACAAAATAAGGCGTATTATAAATATTTGCTTTATCTTTGTTTTATAAAGTTATCGTGAAGGGGCATATACATAAATACACATGAAAAGAAAACATATTTTTGCATCTTCGGACTTAGATTAGTCAAAAACGTAAATAAACGAAAATTTTCTAGTCGACACGAGTGCAATACTGAGCTCCCCAGGTAGAAAGTCTCAGTGATTTGATACATTTACGCACAAATGTAATAATATATGTCATTTTCATAAATACATGAAGATACTCCCTCGTATAATGAATTTACGCCAAATATAAAAGTCGAGTTTTCAATTTCAAAATGATTTTACCTATAGATGGAAGTAAAAGCAATTATAAAGTAAATAAAAAAATTACTCGTGTAAAAAACAATTAAACAGTTACTATTTGACAAACAGACCTTGGTACCGTAGGTACTATTAATTAAAATTAGTTTAAAACTATATCATCATTAATAGGAATTAGGTGGCAGGTTTTTGTTTTCAAAATAACAAGAGCCTCGACGATAAGCTGTGTAATAGGCCAATCAACGAATGAGCGTAGAGTGCGTGAACAGGTTTTTTTTTCTCTCCTGGGCTCGTCTGACTATGTGTCTTCGAATAACACTGAAGCCTATTGGCTTATTGTGTTTTACCCCATGTTAGTTCATAGCACCCACTCTATCACCTTTGTACCTTGTACAAGTTTGTACAGATCCTTGGGTGAGTGGGTTCTATACGTTGTTGGATCAACCTGGGGTTGTCCAAAAAGAGCCTGTCTTTTGCGATCTAGAGCTTCGCATTCGCACAGTATATGTTTGGCTGTTTCTGGTTTCTTGTGACATAGTCGGCACATGAGTTCCCCATTGTACATGCCAATTTTGTTCAAGTGTCCCTTTACTGGGGCGTGCCCAGTCATGAACCTTGTTATCACTTTCAACTGCTTCCTATTCATTAAGAGTAGTTCTCCAGTTCTTTTGGGACATGGTCTGCCTATAAAGGCTTTTCCATGTGCCTGTTTTGGGGTGCTTCCCCAATAGTTGATATGTTGTTCCCGAATCCAGTCATTTATAAAATCCCGGAGTGTACTTTTTGGTACTCTTGGGTTTGTGTCTGGTTCCGGTGTTTCTTCTGACCCTCTTTTTGCAAGTTCGTCAGCCTTTTCGTTGCCTTCGATCCCTTTGTGACCTGGCACCCAAAATAGTTTTACTCTATTTTGGTCTGCCAGTGTTCTTAGTTCTTCGATACATTCCCATACCAGCCTCGACGTAACTTTCTGACTCGATATGGCCTTAAGTGCCGATTGGCTGTCTGACATTATTTGAATATGCTGATTTTCGACAGCTCTTTCATTGTTCGTTTTTGTACATTGCAAAATTGCGTATACCTCGGCCTGAAATACCGAGGAATGTATTCCTATAGCATAGCTATGGTTAGTATCAGGGTTTTTGGATAATACTCCTGCCCCAGTGCCTTCCGCAGTCTTAGAACTGTCTGTATACCAGGTTTGTTCCTGTCGTTGGGCATTGGGCTCCCTTATGGTGATCTCCGCTCTTTCCTGTATTAAAACCTCAAAGGGAGTATTAAAAGAGTACCTCTTGGTTAAGTGGTCTGATCTCATGTCTAGCACGTCTCCTGTCACTAACCTTGAGATACTCATGTGACCTGGCCTAATGTCAAGATTTTCCAGTGTATTCCCTAATCTGTAAGCACCTAATCTTGCCTCCCCTTGTATCACATAGTGAAGAGGTGGGAGTCCTATTAGTGCTTCCATTGCAGCAGTGGGGTTGTTTTCATTGCCCCCGTTATTCCGAGGCAGGCAAGTCTTTGTACCTTGCTTAGCCTCGTTATTGCTTTCTTTTGCTGTGTCTTTGGCCACCACACCAAAGCTGCGTATGTTATTATGGGTGTCACCACCATGTTATGAAGCCAGTATACCATGTCTGGTTTTAACCCCCATTTTTTTCCAAAGGAACAGGTACCTAAAAGAGTGTTTAAAAACTTATTCAGGGTGCTTAAGGAGTGAACATATTAAAAATCTTGACATCTAGGAGGTAAGCCGGAGAAGAGGGGGCACAGAGAAAGTCCTTTTTGGGGGGTTTTGGCTTTTATCTTGAAAACGGTGCATCGTAGAAAAAAAAACTAAAAAAAAAAAAAAATGATAGCTAATAAAATCATCTACCACTTTGATTCTATATAGGAGGAAGTGCGTTAATTATTAAAAATAACATTTCCCACTATGAGGAACCAGACATCCAAGAACCAGACATCCAAGAACCAGAAAATCAGGTAACCATGAGCATCATTAACATTAAGGGGGGCAAAATTACAATAGCTGCAATCTATTGTCCACCAGGATACAACCAGAAAAAAAAAATAATCTCAATGTACTCAAAAAAACTAGGTAACAAATTTATAATCGGTGGAGATTACAACTCCAAACACACAAACTGGGGTTCAAGATTAACCACAGTCAAAAGAAAAGAAGCTGCATCAGAACTTGGTTGTATATACCAATCTTCTACATACTATTCTAGTAGGACTAATAGATGATAAAGAAACTGATTATTCACTCTGGAAGGCAACTAAAAAGATGAAAAATTCGTGTAAACACTGTCCTCCTATCAGAATAGCAGATAACAAATGGACAAGAGACAATAAAAAAAAAGCTGATATTTTCGCTGACCACCTACAAAAGACGTTCCAATTAGATGAAAATCAAGACACTCATAATGAGACCATCCATAATATGGAACAACTTGAAATTAAGCTAGTTACTCCCAATGAAGTTACGAAAGAAATTCAGACAAACATCAACTCACAGAAAGCCCCAGGATATGACCTTATTACTGGAGAAATATTAAAGAAACTACCACGGAAGGCTATTGTTAAATTGACATATCTCATAAATGCAGCATTTCGCCTTAAATATATACCTGATGCGTGGAAAATGGCTTTAGAAACAAACACTCGACAATAGATCAAGTACACAGGATAACCGATATCATCAAAAAAGCTTACGAAGAAAAATATATATGCTCAGCTATATTTCTTGACGTAGCCCAAGCATTTGACAAGGTTTGACACGCTGGCCTAATACAGAAACTTGAAAAAATGCTCCCTAGACAATATGTCGACATTCTACAATCTTATTTACCGGGAAGAATGTTTAGAGTAAAGCAAGACGAGGCATACTCCGAAATGAAAGAAATTAAAGCAGGTGTCCCACAAGGCAGTGTGCTAGGACCGCTTCTTTACTTATTATACACCAGCGATATCCCTCAACAACAATCTGTTAAAATAGCAACATTTGCGTATAACGCTGCAATATTGGCAGTTGGCGGAACTAATACAGAGACCTTAGAAAAACTTCAGGAAACCTGCAACAAAATCAATCGATGGAAAAAAAAGTGGAAAATAAAAATAAATCAAACTAAATCAGTGCATGTTGATTTGACTCTTCGACTAAATGAACAAAAACAAATAAGAATAAACAATGACGTTATTCCGCATCACGATTTGGCCAAATACCTAGGGATGAACCTAGATGTAAGACTTAAATGGAAAGAGCACATAAAAAAAAGCGTAAAGAACTAGAACTAAAATTCAAAAAAATGTATTGGCTCCTAGGAAGAAAATCAAAATTGCTGATTTATAAACAAATCCTAAAACCAATCGGGATTTATGGAATACAGCTATGGGGATGTGTCAGCAAGAGTAATATCAACATAATACAAGTTTTCCAAAATAAAGTCCTAAGATGCATTGTTGATGCACCTTGGTTCTACCGAAACGATTATCTTCATAGAGACCTGAAGATGCCAACAATCGAAGAAGAAATAAGGAGGTTTGCTGCGAAACATGAGGGTCGACTCCAATACCACGTCAACGATGAAGCGTTGCAATTACTGGACAACTCTACACTCAACAGAAGGCTCAAGAGGAAGAAACCATTTGAGCTAGTGTAGTGAACGTTAAACAGTGTAATAAATCTTCACGCCAACTTGTGATGCTCTCCTATAGAAACAATTAAGACAGCCCAATGAAGACTTCTTAGATAAGTAATTAGTTTGTGAGATTTTTAGATTAAAATTGTAGATAAGTCAGTAATAACTAGTAACAATACTCTAACAAAAAAAAATCTGTACACTCCTTTTTAATTGTCGAGGTGCACCGTCCGGAAATGTGAAAATTTTCGAAAAAAGACTTTTACCTCAACTTGTTCCACAGCAATTCCTCTATAGCATCTAAACTATTTGTCTGAAAAAGAATTATCAAGGAAGCGGAAGTGATCTTTTATAAAACCTCCTCCACTCACGGCGTG